GATGTTAGTGGAGTAGAAGTTTTCCGCATGATAAAAACAAAAAAAAAAAAAAAAAGGTTGGGGGGGGGGTTCCACTGCAGAATTAAGAATCCACTGAAGTTCATTCTATAGTACTGTGCTTTAACAATATATGCATATTTAGAGCTTCCTTAAAATTAAAAAAAAAAAGCTGGTTTCACTTTGCCCATGATCCAAGCACAGTTAGAACAGATCTTTACATAAGTATCAATAAAGCACTTCACATCTGGACCTGGTCCAAAGGAAAAATTGGCCTTTCAGATTATATCTTGAGAGAGACATGGACTGGAAAGCTGGTGTTAGCTGAGAAACTTTGATAGAGCTTAATACCACAGCACCCAAAGTAATTGGCTCTCCTCAATGCTCTAGGAGTCTTTGCACCCCCTTAAATATTTGCTTCACTTTCCAGAACGGGAAACAAGGTTGCTTACCTAGCCCCATCAGGGCTTGCAAAGCCATTTAATCAGCTCTTTTACCTCTCAGAAGCACTGATGGGGCTAGGTAAGCAACCTTGTTTCCCGTTCTGGAAAGTGAAGCAAATATTTAAGGTTGATAGATTAACAATGGGCAGGAAAAAAATAATACAAAAAGTAGATGGCACTATACACGTAAGAGCAAACAGGCTGTACAATTTAGCAAATGCCATGTTCTTCTGTTGGGCAGGCTGAGTGTTCGACTGCAGGGTGGGTATAGGTAGTACAAAGGAGGGCATATCTACATGTGCATTAATGTACAATAGTTACCGCACATTTAGTTTAGTACCTGCAATAACAGGTACTATTAAGTGCACAGTAACTGGTATCACTGTGCAATAGCACTGTGCGTGCATTTTAGGTGATGCTAATGCGCAGTAGACTAATTCTACTGCACATTAGCAGTTTTTGCCTGCCATGCTAATGCGCAGTAGAATTAGTCTACTGCACATGTGGCATTTCATGTAGATATGCCCAGGCAGAACAAAACTATGTGTATTAAAGCATACAGTTGCATTCATTGATCATGGAGGGCAGAGTTAAGGTTTAAGCTATTTGCCAATGTACTCTTCACTTCCTAGATGTTCAAGTAGACAAAACTCACTCTTCCAGAGAAGAGCATGTTACTAGGCAAACTTCCTAGGTCAGGGGTAGCCAACCCATGGCATGTATGCCACAAGTGACATGGACAATCTCCATGTGGCACGAGGCAGATGTGAGGAGAGACACAGGAAAAGATAGGGCAGGGAACAAAAAGCAGAGCAAAGTTCAGGCAAGGGAAGGGGATCAGAGTGGCACCCCTCTCAAAAAGGATGGCCCCACTGTCCTAGGTTTCTGAAAAGAGAGAAGTGATCTTTGTAGGAGTTAGCAATCAGGTGGCTGTAGTTATCAAGAGATAAGCAGCCAGTGGCCACTATTTTGGGGTGATTTCCAAGCATTGTGTGGAATGGCTTCTGCCTTGAAATGTCTGGGGTGCCTAGCTGCTAACACACCCACTGAGAAACCACAGAAGTGATCTATGTCCCCAAGAACTTGACAGCTTTATTACACAGTAGTTACAGTACTTTAAGCATATGACAGAAAGCAGGGCAGGGCGGCACCTAAGAGACTAAATGGCAAGTCCCCAAGGTGCCACCCTGCCCTGCCTTTGAACTAATAAGGCTATTTACCTCTTTTTAAGCCAGGGGTTCTCAACCTCAGACTCAAGGCATCCCTTGGAAAAATGCCAGTTCTTAAGTTTTCACTTATTTTTTTTACTACAAAAAAAATAATGGAGCAATTTTGATGTTGCAAAGAACTCCAGAAGACCACAACTGATCAAAGTGTTTTGGACATGATGGATTTGGATTTGAAATCTCCGCGTGCTAACCCTACATGGCACTCTGTGACACCCTTCAAAGGATTTCAAAGCAAGCCAGGGTGCTGCAGCTGGCACCCTGACAGAGTCTCTCTCCTTCCCCCTCTCCAGCCCCATTTCTACCTCACCCATCCCATTAAATCCCTTTGCCCCACTCTCCACTCCCCCTGATACTTCAGTCCCCCCCACCTCGGGAAATACCCACCCCATGTCCAGCTCCATTTGCAGAGTTCAGCTCTGGGTTCCTTTCAGGCCCCCCTGCCCTACTCCTGACGCACAAGGTGTTGCACAGCTCCCGAAGATCCCTGCACTTACTGGGTCCCTCCCAGAGAGACAGGAGCCTGTGGATGCTGAGCACCTGTCTACAGACTTAATTCTTCATTCAACACTAGGCTCAACCTTGCTTCCTCAAAAGAGGCAGTGGATGTCATGCACCACCAGGGGCAAATGTCACGCAGCTGAGCCACCTTCAGGTCTAGCCAGACTTGGTTCGACTCCCCAAGTCTACACAAGAACGCCCTGGGAGAATCTGACAGCCTTAAATACTCTGCTCCCTGCCTGGATCTCAGGACCCATAAACTCAAATGATCCCAACTCTGGACCTGCTGCTCTGCTCCTGCCAGACACAACACATTTCACAGGAAATTCAAGCAAGTGCCCGGGTTTTAGAGCACTTAGAGTTGGCCTTTAAGCAGAAAGGAGTTTGGGGGAAAGTGTGAAGTGGCCTATTCAACTCACTGCAATGGTGTGAGCTGAACTAACCCCTACCCTCTCCCTCCCCATAAATAAATACAGATAAAAAGGCACTTATTCTGAAAGCTGTGAACCGCTGTATTCATCCCTTGGGAGCAAAAGTCCTTACCCCAGCTCTGCTGCCAGGACTTGATCTCCGATGGTCTGCATCCACGCATGCACTACTGTACTCACACCAGGCTCAGTCCCGAGCCCTCAGTGGAGGCTGCCAGCATGCCTACCCCTACTTGCTCCATGGAGGCAGACATCCTCGTACCCTAGTGTCACAGATCCACCCCAGGGAATTATGTGCAGAAAAATTCAAAGATATGCAAAATTATATTTAGTTTAATTTGTGCAAAAAAATGTAACACTATTTGAATCTTCTTTAGAAATATTTGCAAGTACTTGTTGGGGGGGAGGGGAAGGAGTAGGCTCCACTGCCACACATTCCTCACCCCCCACTGCCACACCTATGCACTGCCCCCACCACCAGCAGGCCCTAAGGCGCTCCTGTCCACAGCAGGCAGCACCCCTGGCAGCACACAGCTCCAGTAAATCCTGGGCCCTGCACGTAACAGCACAGAGCTGGCCCAGTTCAGCCCACTGGCGGGAGCTTTCAGGCCAAACCAGGCTGGCTCCATGCCAGCACATGGGGCTTACAGCACCGCAGGCAGGAACCATGTGCAGCACCAGGCACAGCTGCCATCACACGCCACCGGGGGCTCTGCCTGCCCCAGCCAGCATCACCCCACGGGCACTACTGATGGCAGGGGCTGTGCACCATAAAGTGGGGGGCATGTGGAAGGGGGAGCCCACAACCATCCATCCCCCTCTCCTGCAGGCAGGAGCTCCCCTTTCTACTCACCACCTACACCCCTGGGAATTATGCGATTATCCAGAGTCATACGTTTTTGTGCGCAAAATTATGCGGGTGCATAATTGCATAATTCCCTGGGGTGTGCATGGGGGCAACTCCTGCCTTCCTAGAGGGATAAAGTCTGCCACATCTCATCTCACACAAAGATCAGGAAAACAGGCTCAGACACACCCAGAAGGGCAGAGACCCACCAGACCTCGGCTCATATGGAGTGGGTGAAAGGAAGGGGCTCCTACCCACTAGAAGGCTGGGGGAAGATAGATCCTGAAACACACACAGGGGATGCCAGGGGGACAGGCAGCTCTAGAAGAAAAGGGTCCCCCAGAACCTGGCACATACCCAGGAGAGGAACACGTGATGTTAACAAGAGCCCATACCTATAATGCCCCACTTTTCCTGCCATACATACCCCACCCCTACAACCCAAGACCCCAAACCCCTGTCCCTTCCCTTAGTTCATGACTTCACCATAACCCCCCTTCACTCAGTCAATATACCCAAGTCCCCTCTTAACCCCCACCCCCTCCAAGCAAGCATTTGCATGAGTAATTTATTCTCTTTTGGAGAATTTGCATGCCTCCTGGATTTTTGGCCAGACTGAGATCACAATGCCCTCAATACAAAAAGCCCTTTGACAGAAGCAGATCCAAGCAAAATGCTCTCCCCTTCTCTCCCGCTCCCAATCGCTGCCAGGGG